AAAAACGTCCAGCCTGGGCCTCAAGCACCCGCGGCCCCAAGCCCAGCCCTTCCCCAAGTGGGCGCCCAGCTGCACTTATCTCTTCCTCAAGGCTACTGCTGTTGTGCTTGCTCTCCTTAGCCAGGTTCTCATGATGGGTACAAGGGCAAAGTCAGAGGGAGGCCCATTCCCTCTCCATGGAAGGAGACCCAGCTTTGTATCCAAAGCTTCCTTAGCAATAGGATGGGAGATCCCCAGGATAGCCAGGAGGAGGGGGCAAGGGGATGGTGAAAGGTCAGCAGGGCAAGACTAAGGTAAGACTTCCCTCAGACCCTCCCTCTCCTTTCCTTCTTTCTAAGTACAGAGTGGTGGGAAAATATTTGAGATGAGGGAGGAAGAAAAACAGGCAAGAAACACAGCTGGGGAGGTGTCACCCTTTGTGAGGAATGAAGAAATGCACCATCGCCTGGAAGTGGCCAGTGCGATGGTGCATTTCTTCATTCCTCACAAAAGTGACACCTCCCCAGCATGCACCCAAGGGACAGGGCCAACATGGCAGGGGCTGGTTCCTCGCTGTTTCCAGACAGCCTTGTGGAGCTAAGACTGAATGTGTTTCAGCATAGATGGCCACCATAAAATTGTACATTGGCTCCTGGCCAGCCAGAGCCAGGGCCAAGGCAATGGGGGCCGTTCCCTCATTGTTTCCAGGATGGCTTCTCGGGCCACATGAAACCACTTTGCGGGCCGCATCCGGCCCCCAGGGCTTGTGTTTGACATGTCTGCTCTAAAATATGATTAATAAATAAAAAGAAAAGAAAAAATAAATTGAACCCCCTCTAAATAAACCCATAACCTATCCCACATAGAAACATTCAAATATATGCATGCACACATTCCCCATCCTCTTCTTTCAAGCATCAAATAGGAAAAATACTGAATGGAGATGGACAACAGGAACGATAGTCGAAAGGGGCAGAGACACAAAGGAACAAAACTGGATGGAAGTAGGTAAGGGGGAAAGGTAACAGGACCGAGAATGAAAGGGAAATGAGAGGTGTCCTATTTAAATGTTAGAAACATAGCTAAAAGTCACTAGGCAAATCTCCCCTCCCCAAATAAACTCATCCTCAAAAGCATTCACACTTTTTTGTATAGCTTGCAATCATCTGAAACATCTGACCATTTGTTTTTATTTTCTACAGCTTTTACTATTCTTAGCAGCCCCCTCATTGATCTAGGAAAAGAAAGCCTAGTCTTTAAATAGGTAACGTTTCCAGGAAATATTTTCATTTAAGTATTCCAACTTTTTAATACCTGACCACTTCTAAGTTGGTATCTTGAACATTCAAATGCCAAACATGAGCAGAAGGAAGGGAAGGGAAGAAAGGGGAAGACAACACAAGATATTAAAGAGACCACAAGATGGCTCCGATCTGCTACAAATAAACAGCCCTTGGTTCAAAATATTACAGGATACAAAAAAAGAAATCAAAATTTTATAGATGCCAAGAATATTTTTTAAAAAAAACATTCTGAACATTCATGACAATTGTCTGCCATACAAATGAATGCCAAAATCAAACACTCTGTGCTATAACTTATACAGAAAAATAAAGAAGAGTTAAAGAGTTAACACAAACCAGAAAACTGAGATTAGAAATCTAGCAAAACTTCTTGGTTATATGTATTTTGCTATTTCTATAGAAAAATTTTCCTGAAAATAAATACACACAAACACATATACATACATACATACATACACACATACACACATACACACATACACACATACATTGGAGGAAAGAGTAGCTAATGTTACTGTACTTGATAAGGAAATATCTCATTTCGGATGATGTAAATTGTGAGTCTCAAGTCTGCAGCCTATCAATGCTTAAACCAATATAATGTACTAGAACTGACTTTAAGGACCTTGCTTGTAATATATAATGCAATTATGATAGATCTCAAGTGACTTGGAAATACAACTCTAGATAAAGGCCTTAGTACTTTTAAATGTTACAGCAACTGCACAAAATATTGTTAGTGCAGTATTCCGGTGTTTTTCAAAGTATGTCTTTTGAAGAATAAACCAAATCCTAATTCCATTCCTCACAAGCCTTTTCTTAATTGTGCCTACATTAACAAATTTGGATCTCAAATTTTTGAAGCTTTTTTTTTTAAGCTGAAGGAAGCAATTGAATTCTCTTACACCTACTGCAGAAATGGTATAAGAAATGGGTAAATTAATTCATCACATGCTAACTAAATTATCAGCTCAGACTTTGATTTTTAAGACCAGAATGACCCATATTAATTAGTCTGACCTCCTGTAAAGAAAATTACATCTCTTCCCATTATTTAACCTTGAAGAATCCAATTTGCATTTAGACAGAGCATGTCTAAGAAAAAATAACTGTCTTCATTTTGAATAGTACATTTTATTTCTCCTCTCAGAACCTTAAGGAACAACTAAAGTAGTTGTACTTCCCCACCACCAAAATCTTTGGATCAGTTGTTTTGACTAGCTTTTAATCTCATCTTTCCATTATCAAGAAGAGAAAGCTGCTTTCTGTTGTCAGTTAGAGAACCAAAGATCATCAGCAATAGCACTTTTTATCTTCTAGGAAAACAAGGGGGAGGACAGCTTAGTGCATTCATATAAGCTGCCTTGTGAGGGTAGCAAACAGTCTATTATCAAGAAGAAACTGTGAGCATTTCCCTCTTTGCAAGTATAGCACAGCAGGATAATAATTAGCCTGGACTCAACTTTATTTCTGGTATTGTCAAAACATTTTTTGAATTAAAGGTTTCCTTTCTTATTGTTTTCCTAATATCTTAAATCTCTTAGTCTTTAAATATTTTTTACTATTTTATTTTTAACCAACAAAACAAAACAAAACAAAGCAAAACATAACACACATACACACACAGTATATACTCCTCCCTCATTTTTTAACAGCAATTACATAACAGTAATCTTCTATTATTTACATTTCCCCCCTTATTCTTCTTTGGAATATTTGTCCTTATTGCCCCGTTGTTTCTTATTTACATTTTTCTTCCTTCATATTCTACTTCTTATTAAGAATAATTCATGTTATTATTATTATACATTATTATACACATATTTTCACTTTTGACCTTTCTATATTTATTCTCCTCTATTATTTCTAGTTTCCAACCAGTCATACCACTTGTTCCATGTTATATAGTACTCTGTGTCTTCCTTTTCTTTTATCTTTTTATATCTTTTCTTTTATCTTTTTAAATAAAGAGGGAAGATCCATGACATTTAGGTGCAATTCCACTTGAGCTAATGGTTCATTTTTCAAGCCACTTTAAATCGATTAACCTGATCTCCTAAATAAAACACATGAACCAGAGTTACCTTAAGTTTGCCTTTAAGTTTAATGAGAAAAGTTTATGTTTTAGAACTCCACCTTATGTAAATATCAAAGAAAAAGAAGGCAGTACTGACAGCCATTACTTAAGCATGTAACATGTATGTGTGCTTGAAGTTTTCTTGGCAGCATTTTCAGAAGTGTGTTGCCCTTGCCTGCTTCCTAGGACTGACAGTGAATGACTGGTTCAAAGCCACATCGCTGCTTTGTGTCCAAGGCATGGCTACAGCTTGGGTCTCCCAATTTCTAGTTTGGTGCTTTAAATCTCTCGAACAAACTGGCTTTCTGCCCATGTTACTTCTTGCCAAATCAAATATTATTAACCTTTTATTTTTGCAATTAAACCTTTATATCTAGCATAAAGACAGTTTATCTGACTTTAACAAATCTTTACAACTTGGCTGCTGTTAATGGCCCTTTTCCAATAAAGTCTTGCTTCTGCTTCTGCTGATAACATATAGGCTGAACTTGTCCTTCAACTGGAAGCACAATGCTTTCTATTAAAGTCCCTTTAGAGCAGGCTTGTCAAACTGCAGGCCCACGGGCCATATGCATCACGCCAAAACTGCGCCCACCCCATTACCAGCAATGGGGAAAAAGTCACAATACGTTGCGTGACGTCACGTGACATCGCGAGTTTGACATGCCTGCTTTAGAGGTTCCCACTGAATTCAATGCAATCTAAAATATTTTGACACAAACATTACTGATTGCAACCACAGATAGTATACTAATAAAATGTAGCCTGCACCCCAGACCTTCCTTCCTTGCTTACTGAATCAAACAACCTTTTGCATCTTCAGTTCAACAACTTCTAGAACATCTTAGCTTTATTGAATAAGAATGAATATTATCAGAATCTTTTCTGATAATAAGAAAAACTATGTTTCAGCAAAGAAGCAAACAAGTGATCCATAAAAAATAATTTACTGAATTAAAAACTGAATACTGCATTGACAAAATAGTAATGAGAGGCAGAGACAACAATGGGCTCAAAATAAAACAAAACAAAACAAATAGAACAGAGAGCAATAATTGGCACACTTTCAGTACATAACACAGGTTTTGCCTTTCCTTCTATTCTGGGCATGCTAAATCTATAACTGGAAGTTCATTCAGAAAATCTACTGGTCTTTCAGTTCAATAAGGCAAAGCTACTTGTACTTTATTGATTTGATTTGATTTGATTTGATTTTTATAGCCGCCTATCTCAGCAAACGACTATGGGCAGCTCTAAATAGTCTACCTAAAAATGAAGTTACACCTGCAGTTCTTCATCAATTTTCTATATCACCCCACCTCTTTTTTAAAAAAAAAAACATCAAAATTTATCTTAACAGAATTCTTCAAGAACTTTTAGAAAAACATGGACTAACTTTAGAACTCCGATTAGTTCTATCATTCAAACCACTGTAAACATATTTGAAAGCGCATACTATATTTCCACAAATATGGCACTCTATTATATGCTTTATATCATTTGACTGATGTGATTGTGTGCATTCTTCTGGTCTTTCCAATGGCACTCTTTGATTTATCTAGATTTATTAAAAATCATTTCTCCCTCTAAACCTACAGGTTCCATAGTCAACTGGGATAATCAAAATACAACATACTTACATTGAATTTTATTATGTCATATATCAAGTACCGAGGAACTACTTGACCATTTACCTTGTCAATTATCATTTCCTTAAAAAGAAAAGCAAAACGGTATTTTAATATTCATTCAACAACTTTGGCAACAGTTCAACAATTGATTTTAATTAAAGATTAATTTATGATTTCCACAACTGATTTTAACTAAAACATTCTTTTATACTGGACACAGTTTTCAACATGGCTGATTTGGTTTATTTTTGTCTTTTGTCAAAATCAAGAAGGCAACTGAAAGAGGTAAGTGGAAATAAAATGGAATAATGTAGCAGCTTTCTTAGAATTTTATCATTTCTTTTTATATTCATGGATGAAATTTACAATATCAACATTTTAGGAATAATTTTTGAAAAGCAGATCAAAATAATTCCTGTTCAAAATCCCTTGCAGAAAATAACTGAAACTAGGAACCCATAAGATTATATCAAGATATTATCATTCTGAGGCAAAGCTACAGCTGTACATTCATCTGAATAGCAGATTCTTCCTTTCATTAACATGAAATCAATCAAATTCAGGAATTACAACATTATTGTGCCGAAGGCAGTAACTATTATGAGCCATGATGCAGAATCTGACTTTGACCTTGAATCTAATTATATTGCTCCTGTCTGTGCTTCAGGATTGTTAACCCCAGGAATCAGTAAGCTAGGATTTAATTGAGGCTGAAGAGCCACAGACATTTCCTGTTCCACTAGAACAGAGAGGTGACTATGCACAATGCCCCCACCTAAGCTCTAGGTTTAGATGTATACCTAGTCAAGCAGATCAACAGTCCTTGTTGAGGCTCTTCACTAAGCAAAAGGTGAGGCATGAGTAATTGCAGACAGCAATCTGCAGGCAGATTTAGATAGCATCTTTGCAGTCTTTGTTGGAAACAACCATTTGGCTTCCCAGTTCATGACTCTTGTTCCTGTTTCTTGTTTGTGACCCCTTGACTGGTTGACTCCTAATTTGGCTTACTGTGACTCATGGAAAATATTTGGAATAGGATAATTGCTTTTTGGACTCTAATGACACTTTTCAGGCAAACACTCTCTGGTAGGCTTTTGAATTACATTTCAATCTGTTGTATTTACTTCAACTACAGTAAATACTTCAAGTTCTGAGTACTGTATCTGTGTGTACCTGTAACTTTGAAAGAGAACAATAAGAGAGAACAGTGATCTCTGTGAAGATTTCTGTTTTCCCTATTGTGTTGCTAAGGAAACAAAAAATAACTATGGGAAGGGGGAATTGTGTAGGTTTATTCAACTGATGCGCCGAACTGCCAATAAAGGAGTCTGAAGAACGAATAGATTTAGTTGCAAAGTGATTATATTTAACAAGCACCTTGGTATTTTAATCATGTGCATATGGTTTTCAAGACACTAAATAAAAACAGCTTTTATTCAGACTAATATTAAACTTAAGAGCCTATGACTCCTGTTGAGACTTATACTTATGCTGCAACGACTAATGTGCCCTCTGATTTATTCTTCAATGTCTGTTAATTTGTTCTTTTGGTCTTTTTTTAATCTTCCAGGTTTAGATGAAGAAAAACTTTACTTTTGAAACAAAAACCTCTCCCATTGCACTGAAGTCATTGGTCCTGGGAAGAGACAGGGCAGCAAATCTGGAAAAGGTATTGCGTGTCATTGGATTGAAAGTTATGGTTTGGGTAAGGGAACTCATTACTGCCAATTTAAATAAACCCAAGTATGAGACTGTTTAAAGTGATGGTGATTAAAGATTTTAAAATATATTATTATTATTATTAATAGTTTATTATAGTGAAATTTTTATTATATTGTATTGTTTATGAATTAGGATTTTAATTTGTTTATATGATCAAGTTTATTTGCAAATTGTTTATTCTGTGTTAAAGGGGAGTTAAAGTGCATTATATTTGTTTATCTATATAGTTGGTTAATGTTAGTTAGATTATGATTATTATATTTGTTACCCTGTATTCAGCTCTGGAAAGTGGGGGAGGGGGAGGGGAGGGGGGGTTGGGGGTATATTTTGTAATTTTTGTGAAACTTTTTAATAAAAAAAAAGATTTTAAAAGATATATCGTGATTCATTTCTTTCTCCATAACCACCATGACCGTCACTGTGATGTTACTGTAGGGACAAAATGAAGGAAAATGCCCCCATGTGAATGGCCCTGAGCTCCTGGACAAAAGGCAGAACATAGGTTAAATGAACAAACATGCCCAAAATACTCAAGAATTAAATCAGCTAAGAAATGATATGTAGATACATGTTGCTCTAACAGCAGGGAATTTTTGTAAAGTTCCATAGTAACATAAATATAGTAGGATCTCTTGCCCAGGACCAATTTCAGCCCTTTTCATTGGTGACTAACATGACAGAGACACATCTCACTACTAATGATCTATCACAACTTGTAGCATAAAGAAAACTTGCTTTGTAGTGGAATTTTTATAAAATGATGTACTGCTGATACTTGCCATCAGACAAATTCTCTAGAATCTATAAAGTTACTTCAAATAGGCTGAAAATGTGAGCAAGAAGGGACATTTTACCATGTTTGGTGTATATGTAAAAAAGCCAAAACATTGTGGATACAAATGCATACATGCATAATTCCGAAGATTCTAAAGATTAAAATACAACTAAACCAGATTCCGCATGGAACATGAGGAGATGGCTAAATTATTTTTTTTGACTGGGGAAAAAACATTTATAGCTGCCTGGCAACCCCATGCAGACTTTTTGCATGGTGGGGGAAAATGCACTCATGGTTTGTGATTTTGATGGTTAGAAAAAAAAACTGTATCATAGAAAAAGTGCTCTTTTTCTTTCCTTTGTAATCACAGAGCAAGAATTAATTTTGTAATTTTGTATTTATTAGGAGCCATGATGGCACAGTGGTTAGAATGCAGTATTGCAGGCTAACTCTGCTGACTGCCAGGAGTTCAATCCTGACCAGTTTAAGATTGACTCAGCCTTCTATCCTTCTGAGGTCAGTAAAATGAGGACCCAAATTGTTGGGAGCAATATGCTGACTCTGTAAACCAGGCATGTCAAACTTGCAACGTCACGTGACAGCAATGGGGTGGCCGTGGTTTCGGCGTGACGCATCTGGCCCGCGGGCCAGCCTGCTGTAAACCATTCAGAGAGTGCTGTAAAGGACTATGGGGCAGTATATAAGTGTGCGTGCTGAGTCTAAGTGCTCTTGCTGCAGAAGAAACTGGAAGCTTCTTTTTTCTGTTCTCTTTCTGCACTTTTTTGTTTCCTTTCTCCTTTAACTCCTTATTAATTTGTGCATGTATGTTTTTTGTAAAACTTTTAATAAAAATTTCTTTAAAACAAAACAACATTGATTGAGGCATTTACCTGCTATTTCACCAAAGATCACTGCAATCTTAGATTAAGATAAAGTTATATTTGTTCAGCTGTGGAATGATGATATCAGCAAAAACAAGGAGCTATTTCTATTAAAATTTCTCACTTTTAATGGTTCTCTGACAAGTTACAACTCTGGAACTTGGGAGTAGAAACAATAAAATAAAGATATTATTACAGTGTGGATATTAGAAACCAATCCTAAGGGCACATATTTGGTAAATAGCAATTTATTTTGTGAATCCTAGGAGTCTGCCCTAGTAGGGTAGTATTTGCATTTTACCATTACAGTAATCACTACAAAATCCAATACTGAATTTAAGAAAAGTACGATTCTGCAAAGAAAACCTCTTACCCCATCCAAAAGAGTATTTTCTAAATGCACACGTGGATCTTTACGAAACGGAAACTCCAAATTAGACACATGAAACACAGAGTTATCTCTGTCAATCATATAAACTTCCTTCTTACCATCAATTAACATCATATACCTAAAGGAAAAAAGAATGTAATATCAGTTAAAGCTCTATTTCCTTCATAATGTTTACTCTATAGTTATTGAATCTCATCCCTCTTAACGAACTTTCTTTCAAACAGAAAGGGGAACTGCTACCATGTTTCCCCGAAAATAAGATCAGGTCTTATTTTTATTTATTTATTTTTTTGCCTCCAAAAGAGGCTTCAGGTCTTTTTTTCTGGAGATGTCTTTTATACTCACCTCAGGCACCCACAGCCCCGCCCGTGCCAGTCCACTTCTTCCGCAGCTGCATTCCAGCCTGCATTTCGCAGTCAGGCCTTTCAGGAAGGCCACTGCAGCCGAGTACCAACTGCAGTGGCCTTCCTGAAAGGCCTATGACTGAGAAATGGAGGCTTGGCTGCCGAAGATGCCGCAAAAGAAATGGGCCAGCGAGGAGAGGCCTGGCAGCAAGGTAAGTAAGTGCGGGGCGAGTGGGGCAACTCCACACCCCACCCCAGCTTGATTTTTAGGTGTGTGCCTCGCCCCCAAACTAGGGCTTATTTCTGGGATAGGCCTTACTTTCGGGGAAACACAGTACTTTCAACTCAAGCTAAGTCTGAATCTGTGATTTTTAGGAGCATTTATTGTTCATTGTACATTTGAAACTACATTGGGGCAAAACAGATATAGATCACCGAAAATTACATCTTGCACACTCTTTAAGCAAGCCAGAACACAATGAATGCTAGAGCATAACTCTTCATGTTCTGACCTGCCTACCGCTTGCTACAAAATAAAATTGCCCAAAAAAATTTATATAAGCTTAATATATAACATTGTTGGAACAAATCTCTTTAATGCAGAAAAGCAAATGTGTCGTTACTTGCATGTATGCATGAATTATTCTGAACCAAAGGAATAGTAGACATGAACTTTAGAGCTAAATACTTGCCAAGAACGTCAATAGCAAATTATCTTGACATTACAGTACAAATTTCCTGATTTGTAATTTTTCTATTCTTGCTACTTATCTAGTATGAATACATATAATCTGTTAGACACAATACACATATATTTTTACCTGGATGTATTTGTATTATAAACCAGCACCATTTTCAGAATTAATTAAATTGATGTTTCATCTTTTTTATTTAAATAATATTAGTTTTTCTCTTTGGATTTCTAGAACAATATTTATCTACTATATATAATATCATTAGCTTATAACTGTAAAACAGCAATGTTTACAATTCTCTTTCCTTATTTTCTAAATAAATTGGGAATTAGCAATTTACAAAAGTAAACATAGTCTCATAAAACACATGATTTTTAATAAAAGGTTCTAAGTTAAATATTTAAAAATTGCACATTTAAAGATGCATGACTTGAAAAAGTAGGTTCTTCAAATTGCTGTTCATCACCTACAATCAGTCAAACTATCAAAACCAAATATTAGCATTATTTTAAATAATTTCAAAAGAATTTATTTTCTATTTTAAAAATTGGTACATTTCACAATTAAGACGTGGTATCCAACTGCTAACAGAAGAATAGCAAAGAATTATTAAAATATTACATGCTTGCAACAGCTTTTTTGTTTGTAATGTATACATGGCACATTTTATTCTAAACCTGTCCATAAACTTTCTCAGATCCTCATCAAAAACAAACAGCACTAACTCTAGACCAGTGGTTCTCAACCTGTGGGTCGCGACCCCGTTTGGGGTTGAACGACCATTTCATGGGGGTCGCCAAACAACGCAGTCCGCCATTTTTTCCCCTTTTCCTTAGCTGTGCTACTCCCTTTTATTCTATTGGCTTTTGAAAGCCAATAGAATAGACTCTCTTGAATAGAGTCTAATTTTATTGGCTTTCAAAAGCCAACAGGAATTGTCCAGGCTGTCTCTGCCCTGCTGAGCCCGCCAAAAGTCCCATTCTGCAAACGGTGCTGCAAGTTGTCTGCAGTGAAGACGAGCTGTCTGGAGTTTCCACCCCTCCCTGCTGAGCAACTACTAAAAATGTAAGTAAAAGAGGGCCAGGGATGGGAGGTGGGAGGCCGGCAGGCGCAGGGAGGGTTGTTGGCGTGTGTGGGGCCCGGTGGGTGCCTTACCTCCCTTGGGTTGGGCCAGCTGGTGGCCCAGCCGGTGGTCGGCCTGCGCTGTCTCTGCCACTTGCCAGCTACGCCTCGGCCGGCGAAGGGGGCGGCACCACGCATGCGCAGCGCTCCCGGGCAGGGAAAGTCCTCAACTTACGACTGGTTGGGTAGTCCTCAACTTACGACGGGTTGGATAGTCCTCAACTTACGACCGGTTGGGGGTCGCAGCATTAAAAAGGTTGAGAACCACTGCTCTAGACCATACATATTTATAAAGGCATATTAATGATGTGAATAAAAACTGGAAAATTTCAAAATATGATTAAACTTTCAGCAGACTATCAAAGTCTGGGTTCATAACCATACAAATAAATAATTTTAATAAAAATCCAGACTCTGAGACTAAGGTTCAGCTTGTTTTCAGCCTGCATTTCCTTTTAAAGATCAGAATGTGTTTCTTTGCAGGATCCACTGCAATTTCGTTCTCTCAGCATTTAAGATATTTGTAAATAAAAAATTTCTTCCATCAAATTCTTTATTTTCATTTTTTTAATTAATACTAGCATTATTTTAATTTACACTCTTAATAGTTTGAATTCTGAATTCCTCTTTAATTTTCACCATCTATCCTGAGTACTCATTCAAGTAGGAAAGTGGAATATAAATCAAGTAAATAAAATAAAAGATGGAGCAGAAATTATATCAGAAAGTACTAACAATTTACTGGATGATCTGATTACCAAATGTTTAACATTTTCAACAACAAGGTGTCTCCTTTCCCCTTAAAATGCAGACCTTGTTGATATTAGTGTGTTCAATGAAATCCAGGAATCGGTACTAGATTATGATCAAACAAAGCTAGCTGCTTTGGAGAGCAAAGACAGAATTTTGTTGAAGAAGAATATTCTCCATTTTGGGATTGAACACATGTTCAGAATCCCCCCTGCTTCCTTAAGTTCTAGTATAAATTAGATCTTCATAACCTATAACCTAACTCTTCCCATTCTTGCATTAAAAAGAGAGAAAAAATGAGTACTTAAGGATATAGTAATTTTATAAACTATCAAGAAGCAATTTCATTAACCTCACTTCAAAGAAATATTTTATTTTACCTACTACATCCCAGCAATATTTTTGATCTGAGAAAAAAAAATGTTTTATTTACTGGTTTTACCTATAAACATCTCTGTGTATTTGAGAAATGCAACCACTGTGATTTTATGCTGAATTACTTAAACCAATAAAACCCCCGCCGATCATCAAAATATTATTTATGCAAGTTAGAAGTTAATCAGGTTCAAATGTAACAACAGATGTTGCACTTAAAAGCAGACTGAGCTAGCATGTTCACATTTGGCTTGTTACAGCTAACAACTATGCACGTTATTAAAATGCAACAATTATTTTCCAAAACAAAAACAATTTCCTCACGCTAAAGGAACATTGCCTCTATGTGTCTCTTTTAATAACTTCAGGAAATTACAAGTAAGTCTCAAAAGCAAAATTATTGCAATATCCTAACATTTGGATTTCACATAATCGGTTTTGGTCAGTTTGCAAATTTCTACACATAAAATATAGGATTGCCTCGTCATAACTACCATTTATTTCGCAGACTACCAACATCCTTTTAAAATTATCTGTACCTTTACTCTCCTAAAGATGAGTGTCTCATTACCTTTTCTATGCTATTCAGGCCTGACCGTTCAATTCTACTCATTAGAAAAAACATCTGCTACAAACATTATTAATGAGGCATGTATCTAGGGACTGGAGAAAGCCACTAACCACCTGGGCTAATTATACTTTTTATTATAAAAGCCAAGAGCACCACATATAGAGAACAAACCTCTCTTCCCTGTGATAATTGTCTTACTTGTATAATTTCAATTTTGATAACCTATTTCTTTCAAAGTTATGTTTGTAAAACTATAGCTCCCTTAACTATTAAATTTAGAAGCCACCTGACTCCAAAACGACTCTGGGCAGCTTATATTTAAATAGGAAAAAGAAAGAATTAATCTAAGTTATCTGCAAAGACTATCAACCAATCACTCAGGGTGCCCTAAATATCCTATCCTAGGGCTTGGGAAACTAGACAGGCTTTTAACAACTTGTACAATATCATCAAGGTAGCACCCAAATGAACCTCTGGATGTGTCACAACAGAGAAGGTATACTTCCTGGGTCCCAGATGACAATCCCAGATGTTGGTTCATCTTCAAGTTCTCCTTCTCCATGGTCATGTTGGAAAATGCAGCATACAACAATTTCTGTTCCTACTCTAACAACAGAGTTTCATGTTTTTAGTTGACTATTCCTGATTTATAAAAGATGCATTCCAAATATGCTAACTTGGAAACTCAGCAATTTATCTATTTTTAAAACATTTACACCTACCGTATTAATGTGATATCAGAAAAAATACTAATACCAACAGGCAAGACAAAACAAACTTTTTTTAGTGTTTCTCAGACCACCCTAATAATTATCTTTGTATCAAGTTATTAAATGTAAAAGCAAACTAAAAAAATTGTACGGCTATAACCATATCAAAAATTTCCAGCAATCAATTCAAAATATCAGAATCTCAACAATCTCAGAATTAGGGAAAAAATATGGAAAGGCGCTTAGCACATTTATCAAATGGCAATCCTACTTTTCAGAAAAGCAGATTAAGGCAAGCTACATACATAAAGCAGCATTACTTATTCTAGAGTTTCATCAAAATCACAGATTTTAATACAGAATACAAGACTTCTACTTAAAGACTATTATTAAATAAGGGGTGCCAAAAGTAAGGCCCCATAGGTAATTTATTATATAAATTATATTAAATGTTTAAATTCATTGCCATTTTCTTCTAAGCATTTCCTTACTCGTTCATTGTACCTCTGCCTAAATTCAGTAACATTTTCTCAAAAAAAAAATCATTAATAAAATGAATAAAACATATTGTGATCAGACTACGGGACCTGGCTTTTGGTATACCCTGTCTATTGGGAAAAATGTACAAATTAAATATTCAACCTTTGTCACTATATTTTATGTTATTCACAGTTGGATGTAATCTTCTTTAAATCATCCTGACTATAGCTGCTTATTTTCTTAACAGGTCAGCTTTCATGTACTACTACTCTTAATTTCAGTTAATTAAGTACCCACCTGTACACTGACCAAAACAACCAGCACCGAACTGATCTTATGTTGTTCTTCCCCTACCACATTAGTGAATAAGGTTAATTGGGAGTTGCAGCATTTCATATCCCATATTTGTATAATTCACTGGTATGTGTTAAAAGCAAAATGATCCCATTTAATATATTTTTTATTTGTAGGCAGACCTTAATAAATACCATGGTATTTATACAATAAAAAACATTCATGGTAAGACAAAACATGCAAATTAAAACAAAAGATGAAAAGTATTGGTGTAACACATAAGAAGCAAACTAAAAATATTCAGACTGAAGATTTGAAACCACAGTATAAACTAATTTATTAAACTGTAAGGCTATATAAAACTATACCAATCTAATGTATCAAAATTACTGAAATTACTCCGTAATTTACAAAGAAAACTTCAACTTACCGAGTTCCATCTGCTTTCCAACTTACTTTGTATGGCTTCTGCTCTAACAATTTAATATTCTGTTCATCCATGGAAATAGGCTGCGCCCCAGGGAATCCAGTCCTAATGAGAGGGGGTGAAAAAGGATCTTAAATAGTACCCAGTGCCAACCATTTCTAATCAGTCTTTCATGAATGTCAATTTTAGTATGAGTTTGAACGAATATTTTTAATAAGGTGGACTAAACAATCTTCTCTGCACCCCCTTTAATTCATTGCTGTATTTTCATACAATTTCTAAATTAAAGCTTTTGTTATGAAGATTATTTAGAACACTGCACGCTATTTAACCCTACACCCTTTTATCATCAGTTTAATACTGCAATTATAACATTAAAATGTAGGAGTTGATAGTTTAGAACAGTGGTGGCGAACCTATGGCACGCGTGCCAGAGGCAGCACTCAGAGCCCTCTCTGTGGGCACACGTGCCATGCTCCGGAGATGGCGAGGGACTGGCCCTGCCTCCCTGGCCCTGCCCACCCAGTCTGCCACGACCACTGCGGCCATGCCCACCTGGCACCCGGTGATAAATAAATGGGGTTTGGGTTGCAATTTGGGCACTGGGTCTCTAAAAGGTTCGCCATCACTGGTTTAGGATCAAGGATTGATAAGAATTAGTTGAGAGCGACATTAGAGATTGTTAGATAGCTACCACACACCAGTGTAGAAAAATGAACTTCCAGTTCCTTTTAAAAGCCTGAACCTTTCCCCTGTTTTTCAAATGAATGACTTGCTTTCAGATGTTTTAATGGCAGAAATAAATATTTTAGAGACAATAATATTTTTGGAGGAGTGCTTCTGGCATTTATCCTTTACATATAGCTAAAAGCCCATTGGGTTTGGGGTTTATTTTATTTTATTTTATTCTAGATAGTGTCAGACTGCTATAGATTTCAGAGATTCAAAGACAGCAACAATTGGACTACATGTAGTCTAATTCAAAAGACTTTGAGGGGCATGCCAATAAAGAAAGCAAAATGTTACAAAATTAAAATAAGGTAAGTCTAAAAAATAACATTATCTATATATTTCAGAAATATTTCCAGACAACTTGACTGAAGTGCTATGTTTATTGGTAATGAGAAGGTGACTAGTAGTATGCATGAAGGTCTAGGTGCACCATATACCAAGAATCAAAACAAATATATCCAAATAGACATATAGCCGATATATCATTCTTATTTAACTAGTACTTTTTATAATATGAACACTGTACTTCTTACACTCATTCACTCATTGAAATTAATGTGGATTCTTCTGGATCAATCACATTTGATTCAACGTTCCTGAAAAATTCTCAGAATTAATTTCAGTGGAGTAAATTATAGTTTTAGCAATGGAATTTTAAATATACAACTTCAATGCTGTACAGGTTTGTGAAAATGCTGTCCCTATAGCAATGCTTTTTATACCAGCATCATGTAGAAGAGCGGGCAGATTTTGGGGGAGAGGAGCAAAGTTAAGTGTGTCATCAGCTTAGAGTTGTTACATTGCCACAAGTGATCCAAGTCCAGCCCCCCTCCTTGAATTCTTTTGATTCTTATCTAGAATCAATATAGTGCTGACTGTCAGAATCCAATTATATTTCATCTTTAATCATCAAATATAGAAAACCCCAATTCTGCCTTCTCTGGATTCTGCCATAAGAGGGAGAGAAGGGGGAGAACAAAGGGGCTTTATGGCCCTCACTTCCTTCAGTATACTTCTAAGGAATTGAATGTGTTTATTGCAACCTCAAAGAGTTTGAATGTAAATAGCACCAAAGAACCTTACCATAACAAAGGGGGCTATTTACCTTTCATGTAGTTTATCTGAAGTCTCCATCCAGACGGAAGAAAGGAACAAAGGGGTGGAATTGTGATGCCTGAAACTATCACTGGAAGGGGGGGTGATTGGGTGGGACTGCTGGGGAACCCCTTAAAACCTTGAATGGGAGAGCTTGGACCCCAAGTCCTGTCTAGCACGCCTGCAACCACTTCTTCTTAATAAAGGATTCCTGTTGGAAGAATTATTCCAAGAGTTCTGTCTTCTTAAGATGCAAAGTGGGGTGGGTCCTTACATTGACCGTTAGTTGACCAGATTCTTATGTATAGGCATGGGTAATAAATCTTCTGAACTGCAGCTTAATGAACATATGGCCCTGATCCTGACATATCACTACATTTGAATCAACCACTTCATAAGAAATCCATATGATCTTATCTGAAGATGCTTCTTATGTCACCATTTTACTTGTGCCATTTCCTAAAAATACTTAATGGAGTAATGCAATATTCAGGTCCTCATTTACCATCGGGCCTAAGCAACTCCCATAATCCTTAAATATTACCCACGCTAACTAAGGGATTTATGAGAGCTAAAGTCCACTTTGTTTAGCTGTGTTTATTTATTTATGAGATTTAAATGGCCACTCATTTAAATCTGGTCAGCTTACAACAACTCTAAAATTAATAAATAAAACAATCATAAAAGCAATGAACAAAAACGGCAGAAGTGTTTCCCTTGTGATGCCGAAGGCAGGCTCAGCTACCCTCCTTCCATGCCTTCTGCCCATAAAAGCCCAGCACCTCAATAAAAAAGCCAAATTTTAACAGCTTTCCAAAAGGCTGGAAGGGTGGGGCCTGTCAAATCGCCACAGAAAGATATTCTACAAGGTAGGAGCAGCTTTGGAAAAGTCATGCTTTTAAGATTCTGTTAGATGACAAAATTGCAGGGATGGGACCTAGAGCATGCCCACCCTTTCTGATCTACAGAGAACAGCAGATATTCTTCAAAATAGACCCATAAATAACCAGGTGCCATACCATGTCGGGCTTTAAAGAAGCTAACTAGCACCTTGAATTGCACCCAGAAAACTCTGACAACACCACAACACATCACTTACCTGGCCCAAGGTACAGATGTATACACACTCAAAGACTTCACCCAAGCAGACTACAATCTAACGCCTCACACAACATTCCTTCAATTCAACTCTTCCATCACCCCCAAACCCAACTTTTCCTCTTGCACAATAAAGGTGAAACATGGACAACCCAGGGGCATCCAAAATTGTGCATGCTGCTGCATTCTGAACCAGTAGCAACTTCCAAATAGTCTTCAAAGGCAACCCCCTATAAAGCACATTGCAATACTTCGGCTAGGAGGTAACTAAGGCATGAGTGACTCTGTGCAAGGTCTCCTGATCCAGGAAGGACACAAGTAGCACACAAGACAAATCTGTGCAATCAAAGAGGAGCCATGAGTCCTGGAGGGCTCTAAAATTGGGCCCCAGCTCAGTCCAGAGAAGTGCAACCCCATCCAGAATTAAATCATCAGACCTCGGAGAGATAAAAAATTGAAAGCTACTCTGTCTTATCAGAGTTGAGCCAAAATCAGTTTGTCCCCATCCAGCCTCTTCTAGCCTCCAGGCACTTGGACAACACTACAACACATCACTTACCTGGCCCAGGATACAGATGTATACACACTCAAAGACTCCACCTAAGCAGATCACAATCTAATGCCTCACACAACATTCCTTCAATCCAACTCTTCCATCACCCAAACCCAATCTTTCCTCTTATACCCCATCTCCCCACTCCATTCTTGCTGTCACCTGGAACTGGGGAGGTCATGCACACACCCAAAAGGAATGGGCCACAGCCCCCTCTAATACCTACCGTCTCTCACACAAGGGAACAAAAAAGGATCCAGCCACACCAAACTACCACTCAAACCAAAATCAAGCAAAAAAACTCCTGGCCCATATAAAATCTCAAATCTAAGTGCCAGTGCCCTCCATCCCAAGTTTTTCCTGGTCTGGAAAGGAATCCAGCGAAGTGGTTGCTTTACCATGTAGCCAGTGGGAAAGCAGTTGCAAGACATACAGAAACTTCCCCACAGCTCTTCTGCCTTCTCCTGCTCCTGTTGTCACAAACTGCCTGGCGTCTAGGAGACTCTACTGGGGACTCCAATAGTCAGGATCTTGCAGTCACTGCCACTTCCTCATCCTGTACCAGCCCAGTCAAGTCTATCTTTAAAATCTCTATAGCAGCATTCCCAAGAAGGTAGGCAAGAGCCAAGTCCTCTGGAGTTTACTCTGAGCCCTTTGCCAGCTGAAGCAAAGCAACTGATCCACTGCACTACTGAGCACCACAACCATTGAAATGAAGAGACCACTGCCCAACACATTTGCACTTGGTCACTGTCCAGAAAAGCACACCAGCCTCAACTTATTCAATCCACTGTCATTTTGCCAGCTATCTGCGCCATTGTTGTTGTTGTTGCTGCCACTCATTCTGTTCCTCCTGCTGGCCAAGCAATTGACACCATTCACAACATCCTCAAACAAAACAAGCCTAACCAAGTAGACATCCATCTTGGTGCCATGATGGAGAAAATGTGTTACAGAATATTCAAACTGCATTTTAAAAATTATATTCACGTACCCTTTCCAGCCACAAAATTGTTGGCATTTAAGTTGGATTTCTCCTAACCTTGGTTGAGTTGTTACTTGAATTACACGTTTAACGGATATTCCTTCCAAAAACACAGCACCCTAAAATGTAAAAGAAAACATAACAATTTTAGAATACTATTCAGCAACAGTCAGAATATTTCAAATTTGATTAATATTTCAATTTAATTTAATTTTAAACTTAGAATTGATTAGATTATGTGCCATCAAATCAGTGTTAACTCTTAGCAAACACATAGATTTTCTCCATGAGGATCTGCCCTAATCTGATCCCCAGATTTATGGAAAGTGTATCCATCACCACTTTAACTAAGCCCATCCAGCTTGCAAACTTAGATTTTTTTTTTTAATGACCCTGTAATCCTTTGCATCGGGGTGGAATTGCAGAGACTGAATGAAGCTGAGCATTTACTGGCCGGATGCCCTTCCTGACGCCTACACGGAACTCACAGCAGATATTTCTCTTTGCACCCAGAGAGAGAAATATCTGCTGCTACCTAGGATCAAACTCACAGCATCCTAATTGTGAGGCAAGAGAGCTCCGCCTCTGGGTCACCAAGCCACTCAGCTTGCAAAGTTAGAATAAGAGAAAGAAATTAAGAAATACAATAAATGTCTACCATCCCTTCACTGGTAATGCATGATTTAATCAAAACCTAATCTTCTACCAAATCCCAATGCATAATTTATAGAAGTCACTATCATAACATGATCATTAAACATAACCAGAGAGGTAAAAGACTGTAATAGCTACTAATTGTTATGGCTCAGACTGAACATCTAGGATCAGAAGCAACAATCTAAAGACACAGGGAAAGTTGCTTGCTCAAGATAATAGAAAATTTCTTTCTGAGAAGATTTCTAAATGCAAAAGGAAAAAAAAGATGCAAATTTGAAGAATTAAAAAGAACTGGAATAATGGAAATAATTAAATGGGAATTAGAGAAACAATGTGTAATTTATTAGAAGACAGCAGGCATCATCTTAATCTCAAAATTAAATTAGCCATGATATTCTGTCAGCCTGAGCTTCAATGACAGAAATGCTCAATCCCATTTGTGTCTGGACTGATTACCATCCTTACCACCTTCAGACAATAATAAAAAAAATAGAGTTGGGTAAATTATAGGTAGTCCTTTATTTACAACCGTAATCGAACCTGGCAATTATGGTCTTAGGTTGTGACGGTCACAAAGTGTGACTGGACCCATTTTACAACCTTTTTTTAGGGTGATTGTTAAGTGATTCTTTAAACAAACTCATTGTTTGCTATGGTTTCATTGCCAAAAATTAAAGTAACCATTCATTTGCCATAAAAGTAACTAGTTTGTCACAGAACATCATAAATCAAAGTCAGCTAACCACATAAATGTGGACTGGTTGCCCAAAATATGGTCACATGACTACAGGGAATCGGTTTGACATTGGAATGGGTTAAGTCCATTTTGGAAGGTCTGATGTAACTTAAAACGATCTCTAAGCAGCTGGTCATAAGTCAAGAACTACCTCTATCCACATGAAGTTTGAATTATCCACTATGAGCAATATTTTAATTCAAATAGCCTTGATCTAGAAATTCAAAAGTTAAAGAAAAGAAATGTATTAATATGATGATTATTTTTTAGGAATATTGGAAAAAATATATACTAAATTGTCATTTATTAAAACAATAATAATTGTATTAACTTAATGTTTGCAAAAAAGGATGTTTCGGGGAAAGAAGAAATCAACCAAAATTAATATATGGAATACAGACTATAGAAATCAATTGTTAAGGAGTGTTTTTACAAATGTAAGCCAGACAACACACTGTTTACCAATTATTGAGTGACTTATGCTTGGGTAAAAAATTAATAAAAAATATAATACCAAAAAAAAATAGAAATTCAAAAGTTATACTTAGTATAAATCTTAATAAATGACATCTTTAACCCTTGAACATGTTATACCTATATAAAACTATTGTACAGGGTATATGGATTTTAATTATATTTATTTTTCTTGGATTTTGACTTATTATACACCACCAGAGCAAATATGTTCAAGCTGAGCAGCCTCATTCATTCATTCATTCATTCATTCAATAAATATAATGGGAAAAGATATCTTCACTTCTATTTATTCAGCCATTTTACTTTCCATCTTGTATGAATCTTGTTGAGGGGGGCATCATTGAGATGAAACTGTCACACATTAAATCAAGACATTTAAAAAAGGAAGCCACTGAGCATGGCATTTAATTAACAAGCACAGAGCCAGGAGAAATAACGAACTATGATTTAAGATGCAGCCAAATCATAAATTTGTCAAAATATTTACAAGACATAAGGGAAGGAAGCCATTTTATTATCTGAGACAGAGTGTGTCAGGACAAAAGTAGCTCTCTCCGTGTTTACCATTCAGCATACCTATATGCTTGAACAAGTTATTGCTAACCTGAATAAATGAAGTCCTTCAGATTAATCATCAATGCAATGGGCGTGAATTTGGGCAGACAGGAGGCCTGGCTCATCCACTATGATGTCTTTTGTTTAAAGGAGATAAAACATTGTAATTAAACTCAGAAATCAATGGAAGCACTAGATAAAACTCTGTCATCTTTTAAGTCAGGCATGTCAAACTGCCGGCCCGCAGGCCGGACACGTCATCTTAAAACCACGCCCACCCCATTGCGGGCAATGGAAAAAAAGCTCCGCTACGTCGCGTGACGTCACGTGACATCGCGAGTTTGACATGCCTGTTTTAAGTAGTCAAACACTTTTCAAAAACAGCTACAGATTGGCTGGGTTCAACAAATTATCTGTTGAATCACAACTGAGTAACATTAGGTAACAAACCATGGCTTACAAACCCCAACATACTAAGTGAAAACCAAATAAACCATACAAAAGCCTAGCACTACCTTGAAATTAAGTCTCCAGGTCTTAGCAACCAGCAAAAGTGCTCAGTTGCATGCCCATTTGTTATAAGGTAACTTTTCATCAACTGTACTCAATCACTTTTCACTATCTAATTATAACAATAACATAATTCACCAATTCCACCAGAAAATAATTTTATAGATTCTTGCAGAACCAAATGATGAAAAAACAGTTTATGTTGGCCTAGTAGTTAATGATAAATAATAAGTGGATTTAATGACTGTTTTGCCTAATAACAAACTTTCAAGAGAATGTCCTTTCATTTTGATCCTCAATAAAAGGAGACCAAGGTAAAAACATGAACACAAAACAGAAAAAACTGACTGGGTTTGCATATTTTGCTAAACTAAAACCAAATGATTTTAGTTTAGTTCAGTTAATTCTAGCAAGAGAGTTGCAACTCAACCTTTTCACAAAACATGGTTAAGGCAAATAGATATATCACTTATTGCAGATTTCTCTGAATAAGATTTCTCTTGATGACAATTGTGGATTGATTTCTGTAAAGGTATGGAATGACTAGTAAGCCTTGATACAGAACAGGATGCAAAGTTATGTAACTGAAATCAGTATCTCTAGCTAGAAATTCTTGTTTTGAGTTCATGCTCTTTTCAGCATATATCACTCAGGGTGAAAAATTGATATCGTGAAAGAATCTTAATAGAAAAATAACAGAAAATAGGAAAAACCCAATCTTAATTTTAAAAAAACAAACTAGCAACTAATCAAATGAGCAGCAAGGCTATCTCTAGCCCACGAATCTGGGCATATAGCACTCAAACTGGGATTAGGTGTATGCTGCCATGTCACCATAAGGGCAGCTCCATAGGAGGTAGAGGCTTTTTGTACCAAAGTGGTACGGGAGCTAGTTGTGTTCTGTTGGCTGTGCTTTGTAGATGCTGTACAGAATGGAGGCAAACATAGCTCATTCTGCAGCCAACTCTCCGGAAGCAACAGAAGGACATGTTAATGAAAACTGCTCTGCCCAAGTTATGCATCTTCCAAACACAGGTTTGCTCAAGTTTTAAAGCAACATATCACTACTAAAATTGCACATTCCCAGCATCAAGTAAAAGGGGAATGCTATGGAGGTGGGGGGGCTAAGCATTTTCAAGAACAGCCCTACAGGGAGACAGGGATTGGTGCGTATCATCCTCTGGATCTGAATTTCAGTCCTGGGGAGCTGTGCATACGGAGTGCTGAGTCAGGCTGGGGGGGAGGGGGCATTGTTGATGTGGGGAAGATAGGAATTCACAACAGGTTGGATAGGAGTGGAATACTGAGATGCATCAAGTTTGGTGGAATAGTGCTTTGGAAACAAAACTGGCAGGAGCAGCCAAAACTGGGCAATTTATTTATCATCTAGTTTCAATATTTAGCCACCAATCACTAAATCAACCACTAATTACAGGGATGGCTAGAACGCTTGTTCATTCACTTATCATTTATTTATTAATAAAATATTTATGCCACGCAACAGCTCTGGGCAGCCTGACACGAACAAGAAGTATAAAGTCAACAATAAAACCTAAGGAAGCATCTCCCACAAAGAACAACAAACAAATTGTATCTCCCACCAGAAAAGGCATAAAGTCCCACCTGAGACTGGATTGTGTGAAAATGTGAAACTAACTTGAAGTTGCCATCATCTCAAAATAGAGGTGGCATTGATGCAGAGAGGACAAAAGCCAAAACATCTTTCAAGAGAAAGATAAGAATCAACCTGCTACCAAAGGAGCCTGAGGGGTTGGCACTGAGCACACAGAAAAAACTCCTAATCCCATTAACAGCTACCACACTTATGAATCAACAAAGCAAGAACTTTAAAGGATAAAAGGGGTCCTAAAACCCATCCTTCTTGCAGTTGTTCTGGATGAAGACTTTGTGGTTTCCATCTATCTATCTAGTATATGGATAGCCTAGTTGAGAAATACATTGGTTACCAGATGGTCATATGTGTGAGAGAGACAGAAGGAGAATCCAGCGAAGCTTAGCTGAAACTTCGAATTCATCAAGTCTCCATGTATTCCATCAGAACTTTGTGTATCCCACTGTTCAGTTTATTTGCTTGTGTTCCTAAATATTTCCTGGCTGTTAATTACAATTAACAGCACGCCTGGCTGAGGAATTCTGGGAGTTGAAGTCCACAAGTCATAAAAG